AGGTAGGACACTTCAGTCTCTGGGGCCACCCTCTCCCTCACTCCTTCCCCCACCTTACCCTTGGGCGCCCTGACCCTGTCCTTTCCCTTCCCAATATCCTTCTTGTTCCCCGCTGCTGGCTACTCCGAAGCCAGCCTTGGGTCAGAACTCCTCACATCCTTTGGTGGATAAACTCAAACATTTCCAAAATAGCAGCACTCAGCTCTACAATGGAGATGCCCTTCTTGCCCTTCTTGATCTTGGATCAGGGCCTTGTCTGAGCTCTGCTGCACTTGGGCTCTGGAAGGGAGTCCACAAAGACTGCAGATACCTTGCTAGCTCCTCTGCAACCAAGCAGCACGTTCTCTATTTTGGGAACACCTGATCTCAGACCTCAAGACCAGGTGCCACAGGCATGAAAGTACCAGAAAGTACAAATCCAGCTAATGCTGGGGAGGAAAGGGCTACAGAGAAGTATTGATACTCTGTAATCATTTACAGATATGTCATCTAATACTATTCATGACAGAGGAAATAGAAGAAGTGGGTTTGATAAATGACACTAATGTGCCTGTTTAATGTCTCGACTTTTGGAGGGAGAATCTGAAAGGATTAGTTGAGCTGGAACCCGGTGTAGAGTGATCAACTATAAGAGAAGGGGCTGAGGGCAGAACCAGACAGACCACGACCTTTTTTTCCATAGCATGCAATTAAATGTCAGCCATGAGAACAAAACACCAAGTGGCCATGACACTGTCCTTCGTGTTAAATGTGCTTACAGCTTAATGACCCAATATTTCCACATCCGGGACGAGGGACCCCCAGTTCTAGCACTGCAGATGCCCTTTAGTAAACTGTGTTCCCCCAAATGTGGTCAGCCTGGGCACCAGTATTAGAAAGCAGTGTGCAGCAGAGGGACCAAGTATTTATAGTTTGGAGCATTATTTTGAAGCAATTTTTTCTGGCCCTTTATCGGATATTACTGGCAGGTAAAAGTCATGGCATGTAGTGTAAAAGGGGCAAGAGTCAAACTGACACATATGAATTTTTTACACAAAGAACATTGTGACTTGGATTTTAGGAAATGTTTCAGAATGCTACTTTAGGACGATGACTGTATGGTACCCCGTGCTCTATGAGTCTTATTTTTCCACCTGTGACAATGAAACTGAGGCTTGAATATTGCAAACAAGCTAGGGTAGAGAGAAGTGAAAGAAGAGAAGTGTTCCCTGTAGCCGCATAAGGCCTGGTTGCTAAGCTACTCACAGAGGAAAGCGGCCCGGGCTTAGGAGCATGGGATCTGGTGGTGGTTGTTGATGTATTTCACATACTGAAGTCCAGGAATAATCACCCTCATTACTCGATGATTTTACCCAATGTTCACACACACTGTTGAATTATTTTCAAAGAGGAAACAGTGCTGTGAATCTGAACTGACTAAATGTTTTTGCTTTGTGGTTTATCAGATATCACAGCCCCTTTTCAGAGATCTGAAAACCCAGTGGTTTTATTTCCAAAACACAAAAATAAAAACCTACTGCCGATGTGTATTTCTATAAATCTGTGCAGAAGTAGTAAATTTCATAGGGTCAGTAGTATTTGAGGCAGTTGGGAAGGCAACGTAAGGAGGGTATGAGTGAGGCTTCACACCTCCCTGGCTGTCTGGATTGTAGTTGTAGCCCTCCAGCAGCCACAGCCCTGCAGGCCACCAAAGGCAGGGATGTGGTCCCATGGGTTTTCTCCCTCAGATCCAGACACATTAGTCCTGGGGCTGGAAAACCGTAAGGAGAGAAGGGGCTCTTGAAGCAGCTGTGAGAAAGGCCATTACCCCTTTTCCATCCTGTGGCTGACGATTGGTGTCTGCGACAGTTTAGGAAGCTAATGAAGCCACCAAGAGTGATGACTCAGCTCCTTTGCCTCCAGCAGTGTCCACATGTGTTCTTATCTTTATGTGACATGTTCTGACCTGAAACCCACCATGTACCACCACCATGCCTGAGGCTTCTGGGGGAATCGGGGTGGGCAGCATAGTACAGATAAAGGAGTCTTCATCCCAGAGGTGAGGGCAGGAGGATAGGCCACAGAGAGAACACGACTCTCCAGGAGGGATTTAGAATCAGTGTCATGGAGGACACTGCCTTTTCCATCCTCTTTAGCTGAAGTAGACTGAGTACAGGAAAAGAGTTGCATTTCATGTGACTAGCACAGGGAAATAAGACTGGCCAGTCCTTTCTCTACCTGTCTAGTAGGAGGGAATGAGAGACACCAAAATTTGACAATTACAGACCAGACTAAGCAAGTCCTTCGGATAATCTTTAATAATAACTTTCATTTCCTAAAATTGAATTTCTGTTCATATCATATTTAAAAAAAATAGGATCGTACTATCCTGTAGCCAAGTAGGTCATATCAAGGCAGCCTGGTTGTCCATCCAGTAGCTCCAAGCCACCAGATCCTTCCCTATTACTGGCAGGCCACCTCTTGACCTGTCCTAAGTGATGGATGCCAGCCTCCTTTTCAGGATGGCCAGGTTGTCTCTGAGCCATCTCAGGTACAAGCCAGGCCAAGGGCCTGGTTCCCGACTTGCCACTTCCATTAGTTCTGCTTTAAGGAAGGGGGATGTTCCTTCATCTCAGAATTATATCAGGATGTTGGACATTTAATTCCAAATCCATTTGTGTGCCTATAGAAACCTGAGCATTGTCTTAGGCATTGTGTGGCACTTGGGGGAGGAGGCAACCTACTCTCGTCCTCAAGGAGCTTATACTCTAAAGTTTACATCATGTGTAGAGAACAGGTTAACGCGGGCATAACCACTTAGGGGTGCTATGGACATCAGAGGTGACAGCAGAGCCAGCTGAAGTTAGGATAATCAGGTCCCAGTGGTGGAAAGGATCTTGAAGGACACTTGGCTAAGTTCGCTTCTCCCAACTCCACAGCCAAGTGGGACCCCATTCTGTTCTATAACTAGCAGTACCCTTTAGTCATTCATTCCAGTGGCCAACAATCTTCACAGATATTTTAAATTCTCTGTGCTTTGGTTTAAAACTTAGTTTTCCACTTTCTCAATGATGAGGCAAAGAAGGTCACCTTATTCAAATTCTGAAATCATTAGTGACCCTCTTCTCTCCTGGAAAATCAGGAGAATTTTCAGAGTTCCCCAGAAATCTGTTTTACCAGCTACATGCCCCTTTGGCTGAGAGACCCAGTTGGATTTGACCCTGGACAGTGGTAGGGGTTGGGGGTAAGGGCTGGGGCCTCGTAGGACTGGGCATCTATTCTGCCCCTACCAGGCCTATTCACATGTCCACTAGCCAGTGCATCCTCTTCAGGCGTGCATACATGACTCGTTTGTACCCCATGCGCATAGGTCTTACTATGTACAGAGGAGCTGCGTCTCTCTTCATGATCATCTCACTGTTAGCTTTTTCCCACTGGTCCGGAAAAGCCCAAGGAAGAAAACTTGTTCCTCTTTTCCCTTTGAGTCTAAACTAAAAATGCAGACCACTGCTTTGTGACAGGGCCTAGCCAGAGTCCTTCCCTGGCCATGTGACCAAATTTATCTCTACACCTGTTTTCTCACAAAGGATGATGACTTTTAATTTTATCAGATCCCTTTTTTGAGAATCTGCTGACTGCTTCTAGGAATGGGAAATGTGGGTTTATATTTCGGATGCTTCTAGAATGTTAGTTTTTTTGTTCAGTTTTGTTTTCAACAAAGTGTTTGGCCTCAGAAATTGAGCGACTTGGAGTTCAGTTGCCAAGAGTAGTCTCCCTGCCAAGTGGCCTTGGAGTGAGAGCCTGGACAAAGGCTTCTGCCCTGCTGGGCCCTGCATGCTGCAGTCAGCTCTTCCAGTCTGGATCTCAGTCGTCTGGGGCACCAGCTCCTCTGGGGGCTCTTAGGCATTGCTCTTCGCCGCAGCTGTTAGGAATTTATATCACTGAAGAGTGAGCATCTCCATTGAGACAGAGTACTTTGCTGCAGGCATTTGTGCCTAAGAACAGGAAGGGGAAGAATAGGACCCAGGACAGTAGTTCCCTAGGCCAGCAAATTCCCATTGCCCCTCCAACAGCCAAGTCTAGAACTTAGGATTCCTCTCATACTGAAGGTTGCTATGGAAGCAGAAAAACAGTGAAGAGGGGGGACATTCAGTGGCTCTTTAGGAAAAGCCAGTTCATTGGGTACTCATAAACTCACTAAAGGAAAATGCTTGACCCATTAGGCATCAGAGTAACCTCACCAACAAGGAGAAAAACACTTAAAAGACATCGTCTCACTAGAGAACTGCTATTTCTCTTCCTGGGTTTCATCAGAACTTCAGCATTACATGACTAATAACATGTAAAATTAGCTGTTACTGAGCAACAGACCACTCTTGCTCCTTGGCACCCCTAAGCAGGGCAGGGAGCCAGCCAGCCAGTAGTCATGGTGCTAGTGACAGCCTTAAAGACCCATGGCCAGTAGGGGTTTGCCCAAACCAGCTGCAACTTCCGCACCATCCCAGTGCTCAAAGAGGACAGTCACATATAGCACCCCTGCCCCAACAGTGAGCACTCTGACTGAAGGTCCTGACAGCCGCTTTTCTTTGGCCCCCAGGTCACAAGTTCCTTTAAAGGGAAGTGGATCCACCAGTCCCATGTGGCTTATGCCTCTCTTTTGCCCCAAGCATCAACTAACGGATTCTGGACCCCCAGCCTAGCTTACTTCCTATGAGCATCCTGACATTTAGTCTTCTGTTAAAAGTGGATATACTTTAGCCAGTAACTCCCTGTTCCCTTTTGAGCTCAGTGCACTTGGAGTGTTCACTGCCCTCATCTGTATCCCAAGGCTCACTTCTCTGTGACTTCCCAGCTGTCCTGTTATTTCCCACCTCATGCTTTTCTTTTCAGCTGAACCTTATTCACAGTGAAATCAGTAATTTAGCCGGCTTTGAGGTGGAGGCCATAATCAATCCTACCAATGCTGACATTGACCTTAAAGATGACCTAGGTAATTGGGGATGGGGTTTGGCGCCACCAGCTGTCAGGTGAAAAGTTATGGAACCCAGAATTTAGACTGTTTTCTCAAACTTCAGGTGGTCAAGTCAGATTCCCAAATCCAAGATGAATGTTTAAGTGTAGACATTGGATGTCTACTTACTCCAGGCCATTCCAAATGGAAACGATGTTTCATTTACTACAATTGGCTGATTTTTCCTTGATTGTAAATATATCGCCATCTAAATTCTCTTCCATAATGATCATACTGACTGCTGGTTACTTGGGGGGATTTTTTTAATGTGGTTTTTTTTGTTTTTCTTTTAGAACTGAAAAATCTCAGGTAACTACAAAACAGTAGTTTCTCCATTTAAGCCTTAATTAGAAATGATGCTTAAACAAAGCTTGAAGTCCCCTGAAAAGGGTGACGAACTGCATCAATATACAATTAAGCTGTCTTTAATCTACCAGTCAATTGGTTCCCCCCAAATTTACCACCTATTGTCACTTCTTCAACTATTTATAACTGAAAACAGTATATGACTGAGTGCCACCTTCACGAAATATTTGGCTAGAAGGGCAATATCTCTTTCTGAGCCAGTTCCTATGGAGGAAGGCTATGCCTCAGAGCCACCAGGTCTCCCTACTCAGGAGGGTGGCGGGTTAGGGCCAGCTTAGAGTTACCCCTCAGGTGTCCCACTCTGTGGCTTCATTAACATAGAGGAACTATCATGGCACCATAAAGGTTCCTGTCCTCTTAGTTGTGAGCCTTGCCAGGGGCAGCAGGCCAGCCGATGCACACACCAAGGCAGCCTCATGCCTGATACTGACCTATGTGCATTTTGTGTGCCTTTAGGTCCCACTTTGGGCTGCCTTCGAGGGTTGGCAGATTTCCTTTCTGAGAGAGAGGCTCGTTCCAAAATCCAGGCCTGACCTACACAAACGGGTATAGTAGTGAGCTGAAGACATGGGAACTGAAATTCAAGAATGCCCTACTCGAGCTTGTTTTCCAACTGCCTTTTATAGGTACTTTCTTAAAAAAAAAAAAAGGCCACACACTAGAAAAAAGCAAGGATCCTATCCTATTATATGCAAAATACATAAAAATAGATTAACTAGAATAAGAGCTAGGCCTGGAAAAATGTTTTTATACATTTATACATTGAGGGGGAAAAATAAAGACAACCCTCTCTGCATACCTATACTGTTTTCTCAGTTTTCAAGAGATGTCTCTTAAAGGTAAACCGATGCGTGTCACAAGAAAAAAAATCAAGCCCGGAAAGTTGCAGCTGACAAAATGGAGAAACTTATTGTTTTGGTTGGCCTCATAGTCCACATTTTTTTTAAAAAAAGCAGACACCATGTTTTAGTAGCCTTCTCAGTGGGGTGCCAGTTTTACAGGTTTTTGCAAAGTGAAATGGGGCATTCGTTGTTTTGTTATTTCTTTAAACCTTTGGAAATGATCTCATGTGTGTTTCTCTTTTTTTGGACTTGTCATTCAAATGTTTGATTTCACCATGTCACATTTGATATTCCTCCTCCTCACCCCCATCCACATGTGCGCACACTTCGTGGACTGTTGCCCCTTGGGCTCCTATGTTGGAATCGACCAGGTAGGCCAGCCCTGCCATGGGGCGTTAGTGAATGTGCCTGTGCGTGGGTCTCGGTCCAACACAGTTGATATACATTTGTTTACCTGTTATAGTTGCAAGTTGTACAGGCTGACATTGCCTCGATCGACAGTGAGGCTGTCGTTCACCCGACAAACACTGACTTCTACACCGGTGGTGAAGTAGGTAATGCCTAGCTGGGTGCTGCCGAGTGTGTGTGTGCATGGTCAGTCGGCCACCGCAGACAGCTTGATCCTTTGACAGCTATGCAGGGCTGCATTCATTTCACACTTCCAGCTGTCCTGACCTTCCCAAGGTCGACCTTCTCAAGGTCTCTCATCCTCGGGTTGTGAATGCGAGAAATACAGCTAGCTGTCAGCCAGGGTGCATCATGCAGCTCACAAATGGGCACGCTTCTGGTTTGGAAACTGGTTCATCAACATTATTTCTTCATTTCTTCACAAGGCACAGCTTTAATGGAGACTGGGTTCACACATAATTTCATCTGCAAGGGGATGCATCCAAATCGGCCAAGTGGCATCCAGTACCACTTCTGTGTCCTCTGTGGACCAGACAGGCAGGCTTGCCTGTGCACAGCCCTCTGTCCCACACACCTCTCTCTGTGTCAGAAGCACCTCATTCCTGGAAACGGCCTTAAAGCCTCAGGTGCCCACAGGGGCACTTTCAGAACACTCTCCCACACTCAGGGGTTCTCAGATCTTCCATGTGTGAAAGTCACATCATTCCGATGTGGTATCCCTAGACCACTGCTGAGAAACACTCTCCTAGATTCAGAACACCCTCCCCTCTCTCCACAGCTGACAGGGGTCATCGGTTGGCTTCTGGTGTTGAATAGCTAAGGGGGGGCAGGGTGAGGCAGAGAGCGCCTCGGCTGCCAGCTTGCTGCAGGAGTGTCAGTGCCCTGCTCTAAGAATTGCTTATATAATGAAGGGGCATCGGTGTGATGGCAAAAAAGCACAGGGCTGGAGCTGGGTACAAGGAGCTTGGATCTTCACCTCGCCATTTACTGGTTATGGGGCCTAGGCTAGTAAGCTCCTCGATGCCTCAGTTTCCCTATCCATAAAATAGAGGTAATAGTGAGAATTGCACTAAAGAATGTAATAAGCAAAGCACCCTGTTTTGTGTCTGGCTTATGATTAGTGCTTGCCTGTGGTCTCGCTCTCATGTTTATGATTTTTACAGCAGATGAGCTGGTCCCGAGAAGAGCATTCTGAGTGTAGATTCAAACAGCAGCTTCCAGAGAGAATGGAGACATTTTTTAATAAGGACAAAAGTGAAGTCATCTGGAAGGATGAGGCTCTTAGGATTTTCATGAGCGTCCTGGATACTGGAAATGCAACAGTTTAGCGATCTCTGGCTGTCCAGCTCTGTTTCATGTCGCAGTCTGCCCTAGCCACTGCGATTTGGGCTAATGGCTTTCCTGGGCATTTTGGATTTCAGATATAGATGGAAAGACAAACTGGATGGAAAGTCAGGACCTTCCAGGTCTGCCAGGCCAAAATGCAACGAGGCCTTAGGTGACTAAACGCTCATTTGACAAGATTTCAGAGAAATTTAATAGCTCATAAGTCAGGCAGCTTGAGAGAGAGATATTTTGTTTAAACCAAATGAAAGCTTTGTGGGAGGGAAATACTCATTTGAAGGAAAATAAACAGCTAAAGACTTATCTTTCAGCCATGAGTAACGAAGGCTTGAGATCATCCTGCCATCCAGGAATTTTGGTGAAATGGAAATTATGAAACTTCCTGGGTAAAAGTATTTCACCTGGGCCCAGGGAGAGGAGAATTAGTGACCTGCAGCCATGGAAGGCATGTGTTTGCAGGGTTAGCCACCCTACGGGGTAGACGTGAAGGCTTTGGGAGGGTCACAGGCAGAGTCAACTGTGTGCTCCCCTTATCCCAAGAGCCCAGTCCTTCCTGAACTGTGACCAGAACTGGCCTCCTTGGAATAATGACAATGCTAGAGTTTTCCCCTCTGCTCTGCTTGTCCTCAACCCACTGATATGCACAGGGTAAACATGTAATAGCCTTGGTGACATCTCAGTAACGTGGGTTCGAGAGCTTGCCCAAGGTCACGTCACTCACACTGTCACAGCCGGAAAAATACCTCAAGCAGTTCAGACAATCTGACTGGCTAAAGAGAAAGACTGTGCCAGGGCCAGAATCCAGGTCTTCTAAAGCCCGCCTCAGTGCTTTTTCTTGGTGAACCAATCCAAACTAGTACTGAACCCAGATTTCCGTTATACTACAAAACCAGTGATCAACCATATTCATACATGGTCTCAATTGGGTCCAACTCCCACTTTGATGTGTGAGAGGGGAAACGAGGAAGCTAGGATGTAATCCCTCCATTTCTCATTTTGGTGTGAATTCCTGAGTCCCGAGACCGCTGGAAGAAGGAATGCGAGTGCAGGAAGGCTTAGCCCCAGTGATTAACTTTACCCATCAAAAGTTCTTTCTAACAGTGAAATAGACCACAGGCTGAGCCTGACATTTGTCCAAGCCTAAATTTTTGCTTAGGCTGTTTTGAACACTGACACTCATGCCTGCTTTCTAAGCATGAAATAATGTCCTTGTTCTCGTGGGAGTAACACGTTTATGCTTGGGGGCAGATAAGCCAATTGCTTTATGATTAACCCTGAAGTTAAGCCTAAAAAGCGAGAGTGTTACATTAAGAGTGTTGACAATACAGTTGAAATGGGCCTGTTTCTTGTTAAAAAGTACACGTGTGTCTACATGAACATGTGCATACATATGTGTGTGTAGGAGTCAAGTCCTGACTGGGTGGATTGCCTGCACTCTAGGGTTCAGTTTTTAAGTTTGGGAAATGCATTAAGTGTATTTTATCTTGCAAATTTCACTTTTAATTAAAGCAAGATTTAATTATAAGTCAAAATTTTAAAGTAAACACTCTTCCTAAGATAAAAACGCCTTGTAATTACAAATCAGCCCATTTTCTTAATAGTTTATATCTTAGAAAGGAGTTGGTAGTATTAATACAGGACTGATTTTATTTTCCCGTCCAAATTTCCTGGCTCCCCAAAGAGTACATGGGATGGAGAACGAGGACCTGAAATAGTCCTGCCTAGAGCACATTTATTTCCCTCCTTCAAGCTGGAGACTGGGTTAGGAGAGAAGGCGAGAGCTGGTATAGCTGGGCAGCAGCATTTGGAATCCAGTGGATTCATTTTTCTTGGTTGCACAGATATTTCAAGTGAATCTGTAATTGGGCCTCACTCATCTGGGATGTATCCTCAAAAGTCTCTACTTCCTGGTGGTCTCCAGGCCATGAGGCCCAAACCTGCTCCCTCAAGCCCATTCAGCCTGCGTCTCTGTCTCTGAGGCTAAACTTTGTCGGAAACATGCAGCAGCTGCCCTTCCAGCCATTTAATGCCTACTTCACTGCTTTCCAAAACGGGAAGGCATGAGGGTGGTCTGGGCGAATGAGGGACGCTGGATCCCCACTTTAAGGATCCCAAGTTAATGTCTCTGAAAGCCAACCCTTCTCTTAGACAGCCGAGAGAGCTCCTGTGGGTGACAGCCTGCGGTCAGGTTCATTCACGCACCCCAGACTGCCTACAGTCGGGCGGCTTACAGGTCAGTGCGTGCTGTTAGCCCTGGTGCTGTCTTATTGGTGACAGTGCCCAGGCTGTTTTCTTTTCCTTCCAGACACTTCCTGGGGTCAGTTCACCCCTCTAGCTTGAGAATGCAAATGAGTCAGGTTTCTCTAATATAATCAGCCTGAGTCATTACAGAGTGAATCCAGAGAGAATTCGGGCTGGTGCATTCCGAAGCACCCTGACCGAACCATCCCAGAATGTGCCAGGTGCACTTTGAATTTTCCAAGACAAACGGTGAATCTTAAGGGGAGTATTTTGTCCTCTTGTGAGGAAAAGTACTTTAAAATGTGCAAAACTGAGGAATAAGAGCTTAAGGAAGACTGAGACTCCAATCTGGCCAAACTTTAGAAGGCGATGTTATCTCTCAATTTGCTTGCTGTTTGCTGTTCCACACGAGGCATTTACCCTCCAGACCTTACAGCCTTGGGGGTCCTGTTTGGGAACCTGGCTTTCAGAGCAGAAACTGATTACTTAGCAAGTACCCTAATGTACAAGAAAAGGTACTCCCTCCTTCCATTGGATTGTTTTTTAAATCTGATCCTAAATGGTCACCCTTCTTTCCAAGCTTTTATGTAATACACATTCATCTTTAAGCTCTTCTTCTGATGTTGCTCTCTTTTACCTAAAATGATTCTGAATCATTAGTGTAATTAAGGAAATAGTGTCTGAGGCCATTTTCTTTTTCTTTTTCTTTTTTTGTTCTTTTTTTTTTTTTTGTATTCACACATGACGTCAAAGCTGCAAAACTGGAACTAAGCATGGTGGTGATGCTGGTCCAAAGGTGGCCAAAGCCAAACGCTTTCTTCTGGGCCTGTGGCCAAGAGGAGAGATAGCCGCCTGATGGGAGTGTGGTATGCTTCTCTAAAACCTCCTTATTTGGGGGCTCTTTCTAGAGACAGAGAAGAAAATCCAAGGGAGGCATCAGCCTTGGAAGCCAGCACCATCTGGTTTCTCACGCCAGTAAAAAGCGTGTAGGACAGGCGTGCTTGCAAAAAACAAGCATCTCCTATCTCTGGCTCATCCAGGATCACCCTGAGTCACCCCCAAATAAGGGGTTGTAGTGCCACAGTGATGACTGGCCAATGGTGAATCCCTTCTAAATCTTACTCTTGTGACCCAGCCAAAGCTTAGCTCCTGTTTTGCAGCCATATGGAAATTAGCTGGTCAGATCATACAGAGTATGTAATCATCTGACATGCTAATAAGTGTCTGTATGTGCCCTGAGACACCAGAATGGCAGTCTGACCTCATCTTGTCCTTGTCTAGGAAACACGCTGGAGAAGAAAGGTGGCAAGGAGTTTGTGGAAGCTGTTCTGGAGCTCCGGAAAAAGAACGGGCCCTTGGAAGTAGCTGGAGGTAAGGTGAAGAAGCACGCAGTTTACTTGGTTGTGGCACATGCGGAGTTAGGGAAACCATTTTATGAGACAACTTGGAATTCAGAGGTGGCAGTGCAAATGTGTCTCTGAGTGGAGGCAGGGGAAAGCCATCAGGCTTTACAAGTTAGACTTTTGTCACATGCAAATTGTCAGGGGAGCTTAAAGGCTGTGAGAATTGCCTTTCTGATTTTTTTATTACTTAAAATAGCTTCTAAATGTTTGATGACTAGACCTCAAGGAATTACAGAAGCAGAGTTTGGCAAATTTAAGATCTGAGAATTGGAGACAGTGATATGAGCCATCTGCACAACTGCTGGTAGAGATGCAAATTAGTCATTTTTATTCAGTCAGCTATGTTTCTAATAGGAAAAGTATGAATACACATTTCTCGTTTACCAATTACACCTTTGATGATACAGGGGGTAAGAAAATGACTTGAAACCGATGTGGGGAAATATCGCTAGGAACTTAGAGGCGGAGTACTTCTTACTGCTGCTGGCCTGAGTTTTAGAATTTCAGGTGGACAAAAGGCCTCCTGAGGGCCTGGGAGGCCATTCTCGTCCTCTTTTGGGGCTCTGATTTCTCTTACTAGATGGTCCCCAATGCCCATTACGTGTTCAAATCCTGTTTGTTTTTAAAATGAATGTTAATCTAATGGGCATCAGCAATCACTTTGTGATGTCCACACAAGCCCTCTCCTAGAGGGTACACCAGGCCGTACCCCTCTTTCCCCAGTGACTACACATGACGAGCCAGCCTGGGCTAGTCATGGAGCTGGTGGGGATAAGAGGGTGGCATTCCCTGTGCTGCTCTTTGCATTTGACCTCTGCTCGGCCAATGAAACATGGGATGGGGGCACAATTTTCCAGCTCTTCTTCCAGACAGTTCCACCTGGAACAGGGGAGGACGCACAGCACGAACCACCCACCAGGGGCTTGTGGCCTTTGTGCCAGCCCGGAGAGCCTTCTCATTGGTGCTCCAGTTCGAGCCCATTTGGTGACCCTCACATGAGGTGTGACCAGAGGTGGCCCTGGTGCTGCTTGCCATTGACCACACTCACCTGGTACAAATGCATTAGATTTAGCATGGCTAAAGATATCTTTGCTTGTTTTAATAACAAAAACACATTTTGTTCTTGATTTTAAGATTTATTTTAGAAAGTTTTAAAAATACTTTTACAAGTACAAAGATGGCAATAATGAAACATACCATACCCCTGCTGTAGTGTCCAAAGATAATCACTGTTAACATGTTTCTTTCCAGTCTTTTTCCATGCGTAGTTTAGCAGTGACTTCTCCAGTGGACAGACTGTGAATTAAACCCCCGATGTTAGGTTTCTGTAGGTCAACACTTCAGCCCAGAGATCCTGTACCACTCAGTAAGCAGCACCAAGACGCACACTTAGACCCGTGACTCTTGGTTCAGAGCTGTTTCTACTACGCCATGAGACACTACCCACAAATCACTCTTTTCCAGTATCTACTAGTGGCTTAAACCTAACACCCTTTACTTCTTGGATAAAACTGATGGGTGTTCCCCACAAAATGGGTTCAGGAAACAAACCAGAAAGTTCGGGTGTCTTACTGTCACAGTGCTGTGGGATTTTAGTGTGCTCTTCTATGGAAGCCCAGCAGGCAGCACTCACCCAGCCCTTGGGACCTAGAACCACCTTCTTTGCATCTGTGGGAACAGGCGTCCTGGAACATGCTCTGGGAGACACCGGGCTGGCATGTTCCATTTCCTGGTGAGTAGCAGACCCAAGGCCACTGTCTTAGGAGCTGACAAGGGGCAGAAATGGAGAGTGAACCTGGAGAGGCTTGTCTGCTATGGAAATATGTAGCAAGAGAAAGGCTCTTCTAGGAAAAGAAAACAGTTCCATCCTAAAAACAGTCTAATTCTGTCAAAATTAAACAGGATCACTTGGTGAGGAAGAACAGGGCAGCAGACATGCTAGTCAGGTTGCTTTCTGAAGAGGTTTATCCTGAACTGTGTCCAGGAAATTTATAGATACATCATAATTATATATGCACATGAATCCATCCACATGAACAAAGAGAGTTGGAGACCCCAAAAGGCAAGCAATTTGAGGCTGCAAACATTCTGACACATTTGGTCAAGTTAGATGGTTAAGGCTCTGCCTTCTGGGGAGGGTAGAGGGAAAGCTTAATACAATCTTGGTTAAAATTCCTGGTAGTGATGCATCCTCATGCCAACTTTCTAAGGGTGGGTCCTGGCTTAGCATCTCTCCTGAGTGAGAGGACTAACTGATGAGCAGTTTCCAGCTCCAGCTTACACTGAATCACAGTGCAGCAGGCAGCTGTAGCCTTCCCTGGATACAGGCCATCGGAGGGCCCAGGAAGACACACCGTAGCTGGAAAGTGGGTCTGTGTTTGGCATCTTGTGCTGTGTGCGTTGCAGAGGGGTAAAACTCACTGTTCCTGTCTCATTCCCTCCAGCTGCTGTCAGCGCAGGCCACGGCCTGCCCGCCAAGTTTGTGATCCACTGTCACAGTCCAGTCTGGGGTGCAGACAAGTGTGAGGAACTTCTGGAAAAGACAGTGAAGAACTGCTTGGCCCTGGCAGATGATAAGAAACTGAAATCCATTGCGTTTCCATCTATTGGCAGCGGCAGGTAAGGGCACCCAGCATGTTACCGTGGTGGTCGAGGATGTATTTCTCTGAATATTTAGTCCGTAATTGTGGTGCTCTGTGTACAAAGTCAACTGAGGCTGCTTTCAGGCTCTTGCCTTCATCTAGGAAACCAGAAGTGAGAAATAGAGAAGAATGCAAACGTTAAGCAATGGGGAGGGACAGTTGGAGAGAGAGAGTGAGACGGGAAGCCCAAGGACAATGTACAACTTCAGTTGTGACAGCAAATGTCACAGAAGGTGACCTCAGAGTACTGGGATCATCAGAGATGAGGGTTCAGAGAGTGAATCTTGAAGGATACTTAAGGCTCAGGTTGAGGGGAGGACAGGGAGGTGTGAATGCAGGGATATAATTAAGAGCATCCCTCCCAGGACCAGCCTGTGGGTATGTTACAGTTCTGTCCCCAAAACAGCAGCTTCTTTGGGTAAAGCCCTCTGCTTCTCACCTGTGTATTCCCAAGTGTCCTTCACTTCCCCACAGCTGCTTTCTCTGCCTGTCTCACTGCCGCTAAGGAGGTCATGGGACCCAGTGGAACCAAGAGGCAAATCATATAAGTGAAACAGGGCTGGGCCTACCCCACCCTGTGATATCCCCAGACGGGCTCACTGAGACTATGAGGGAACTGCCCCTCAGACAGAACAACCTAGAGGGCCACTACGGGGTGAGTGTAGTCCTTGAACATGTGCAGCCCACCACACCACCTCCTGGGTTGCACGCCTCAGATGCCAGAAATAACCTGTTGGGTCCCTGCCTATCAGAGCAGCACTGTGCTCTGATATGAGGTCAGGCCTGGAGTTGAGTCCTGGCTCAGCCACTAACCAGCTGAGGAGATGGCACATAAATTAACCCCGCTCCGAGCCCAAATTCCTCATGAAAAGTGAGTAATCCCTCATCTCAAGGCTGCTCTGGAAATGAAAGGGGCTCTCGGAGGGAGAGGGCTTTGAGAACTCTGTACTGTGACGAGGATGGAAGGGCCTTTTGGGGCCAGGCTACCTCTGAGGGTCCTCCCTGCTAAGGGTCTAAGTCATAGCCTCTGGAAGGCTCACTCCAGATTGGGCACTGAGCAAAGGGAAACCGGTCTCCAGAGCTGCAGCTGTTGGCATCTTGGGCCCAACAGCGGCCAAAGCCCAGGGCTCCATCAGTTGGTAGCGACACCTGGGCTTTCCATCCACATTGTGAGCCTGCTTGGGTCTCTGCCACCAGCCGCTCACACTACCCAAGGAAAGTGGGGCTGTGCAGAGGCAGCCCGGGTTCCATAAGGCGCTGGTCAGGCCCAGAGCCAATTCAAGGCCTTTTCTTTACAAAATACTTTTGGATCCAAGCATAAGTAGCCAGCTTCTCCCACATCTCACAGAAGGTCTGTTCCTTGGCACTGCACTGCCATGCGACCTTTGGTAAATGAATCACTCTCTCGGTCCCTGGCCTGCCGTATCAGCCAGCAAGACTTTGGGGACTGCCCTTCCTCACAGATGGTTCTGAGGTTCAGTTAATTAGTGTTTCGGATGCACTTTGATCTACTCTGATGAAAGGTGCTTCCGAAGAGAGAAGCAATAGGGGCCCATTATTGGAGGTAATAGTTTCACATTTTTTCATATGGCTATTGGGAAATTTCTAATTGAAGCATAAAAGTAATTCTCATAAAAGACCATCTGTTATTACAAACTTATTTACATTTTTCATGGAGTAAAAGTTTTAAGAAATAATCAATTGAAAGCTTTTAAGAGGGCGGAATTCCAACGGTAAGCACATGTGCACAGCCACCCAGCCCCACATCTGTCGGGCAGACCTTGCCCACAGCACCGTGTAAACAGCTGCCCTCTCTTTCATGAGTAAAGAATGGGATTACACCAGAGCCGGCCAGTAAATCACAGCGGGTTTTAGGAGGGGAAATAAAACAGCTTGTTTGTGGCATCCAGTGTCTCCAGCATATAAGTCACGCTGGAATTAAAACAGTATAAATGCAAACATGTTGGTAAAGTGGGCTTACTTTCTCTGAGCTGAGGCCCAGCGTCTCGGGCATGTGGGTGACGACCACGACCCCACGCTCCCTTCCTGTAGCCCATCCACCTCCAGGCCAATCCTAAAAGCCACTGGAGGCAGAGAGACCCAGGAGTGTAACCACGGCCTCGAGAAGCCACCTCTGTCCGGCATCTGGCCAAATTCTGGTCACAATATTTATGGGTACCCCCACTCCCTCAGTTCTGTTTGACATTAGGGGGCGACCCCTCTCCAGAGGGGCAGTACAGAGGGAATAGCTAGTTTGGGGCTTTGATTAAACTCTCCTTAGATTTATGAGCTTAAAAGGAAAGCCTGTTTGTCTTTTTCAAGTTACCATTTATGGGTATTGAGTCCCAGGCACCATGCTAAACCCTTCATCTGAATTCTCTCACAAAAACCCTGCAAGGTGAGCACTTATTAATTCCATACAAAGGCAGAGAAATGGAAGCTTAGAGGAGTTAAGTCACTCACCTGCAGTCACACAGCTTGCACCTGGTAGGGCCAGATTTTGATCAGAGGTCCTTGGCTTCAAGGCTTGTGATATTAGGCACATGGAACTCTTGTCAACAAACCTACCCCACCCCCTCACATCCCACTAGAACATCACCCTACTTCCTGCACACTATGTGAGTAGGTTTTAGGGAGCCTTGGAAACACCACTTGCCCAGGCACAGCCATTGGCCTCACTGGCTGCTGAGCACGAGCCTTAGAAGAGAAATATAAAGAACAAAAACAAACATATTAACCCAAAACACGTGAGTGCTGGAGTGAGAGAATGTAAGAGGCTGCTTTTGAGTTGTGCTGCCCAAGCTCCTCTCTAGCCTTGTGGGGCAGAGGGCCCATCATCATCTCCTTCTGAATTTTAGCTTCTCCCTCTCAGCTCAGAACCCCGATGGCTTGATCTTTACCTCTGGCTGGAGCAGCCTCCACCTGGGGCAACTTCAGACAGTCAGTTGCTCAAAGCCAGAAGATGGAAAAGTGGAGGGGCCTGGGAGCACGGTGCGAGGGAGACCTAATCCTAGCAGAAGAGTATTTAGACATGGTGACATTTTTCCCAAGTTACTCAAGCTTCTAAGACATGCAGCCCTACCCATCTCCCAGATAGTGGACTGACCTGGCAAGAAAACCAGACTCCTTCTAGAATCCATGTTTACTCCTACCCAGCCTTCCAGGGCATGCTCCAGTCTGTCTCTTCCAGAAAATCCACCTGGATTTTCCCTACCCCCAGGACCCAGCCTGCTCAGCACAGCTCTGGGCCTGGATTCCTGTGTGGCTGCTCAGCCCTGAGGGGCAGGTTCCCCAGGAGCAAGGACACTTGGCAGCGCCCCATACGAGGGGGCCAGCAGAGCTGATGGAACTGAAACCTCTTCTGGGAAGAGGCCTTATAAACCAAATCTCTGTCATCCAGATGGAATGGTAGGACAAGCAACCAATGTGTACGGTCCCCAGCTGTCACTGAGCAGGCTGACTCAAGAAAGTAGCAGACAGAGATAGCGCATGGGGTCCCCTTGTACCAGCTAAGGGAAACTGAGGCCCAAGACACTGGGAAAGGCTATCCCAGACACACGTGGAGTGACTTCAGTCTGTTCACAGCAAGGTCAGCAGAAAAAGGTCAAAGTTTAATATAAACTCCATGGGGGATGTGAAGCACTTGGCTGCAGAGGAACCTAAGGCAAAGCTGTAACTGCAGCAGGCTAGGTCAGGGCCGAGTGGGGTAGAAGGGTACCCACCTCGCGGGGGCAGCAGTGTCCACATCATCACCACTATGGTCATCGACCTCTGTACCCTTGAGGTGTCTGTTTTCCAGCTGAGATCTCTTAATTCTTAGGTTAATGCCCCATCTAAGTCAGATTCAAACCCGAATCTGACTCTAGAGCAGAAGCCCTTGTCCTTTTGCTTTGATGTGTCTTGGGAGAGGTGGAAGGCAGACACAGTGCGGCTTAGGACTGTCACAGAGGCAGTAGCCCTAAGATGAGGGAGGAAGGCGCAAAGACGTGGCCAAGCAGGGACAGCATTCAGAGGGGCTGCACCTATGCAGCCAGCGCGGGAGCCCAACCAGCCAAGACACCGAAAGATGAGGGAGATGCCCTTGGCGAGCAGCTCTCTGGGAGCTGACCAGCGCTGCACCAGGGATGCCCACCTGTGTCCTTGCTGCACCTCGGCATGCCAGCAGTCATGGCTGACAGCCCTCTGAGAGGACTGGGCATCACAGACGCAGACAGCAGCTCTCTGGGAGCCTCATGCCAGTGTTGTTAACAGTGACAGCAGCAGTCACACAGTCATAGCTGTCATGGGTCCTGGGGTAGGGAGACAGTTTTCTAAAAAGACCCTTCCAGACCACCTACTTTACAGATCATACTATTACTTGAGGACTCTGTACATTACCTTGTTCGGTACTCGTTACCTACCTCATTTCACCAGACGGGGAAACAAGGCACAGAGACAGTGCCCAGTCTCAAATCCAGCGGCTCCAGGCTGCATGTGCCACAGCTGCCACTGTCTTGAGAACGTAGGGTTCTGAGTGTCAAGCACTCTTGAGAGAGCATCTATCTGCACATTCCACATGTCACGAACGCTTCTAACTAGCCACTGGAAGATATTCCAGGGCCCACCTGCAACATTAGGAAAATGGTTACCTCCATTCCTTCCTGGTGGCCTGGGTAGTCCACTGTGGCCACAGTCCCAAGGCTGGGTTTCTGCTTTAGGCTGTGGCTGCCTAGCACAGAGGGTCGGGTTCATCAATGAGAGGTTTTCCTGGAAACAAATCAGATTCACATTCACTCATCAGCCACCTTGAAGGACAAGGCCAAACCAGCTCGCATTGCATCAACAGTAGGGCATGCAGGTGCGGCACTGCGGGTTGAACACCTTTGATGCCCACCTTTCTCCACTTGCTGCTGGCTCTTCGCCTTCGGGCCTACCCTGTGAGCCCAGATCATAAAGTCTGTGCTGGCTCCACATAGAACAGTGGGTCTTGAAGGGCGGTCCCATACCTGCTGAGTCAGACACCCTGCGTGGAGCACGGCAGCCTGCGCTCCCACAGGCCCATGTTGAAAATTGTTGATGTCGAGGGACAGGAAAGGACATGTTTTTGCTGAGAGTAACACAGTCCTTTTCAAGGGTCGCAGGCAGAGGAATGGAAAACCTATGGGAGGAAGTCTGTGTGAGAAAGTGCTGGGTGCACGCAAGAGTGACTAGCAAGTGTTTGGGGCTCCGGGGAGGCCTTCAGCTAGGACAGAGGGGCCTAAGGCCTCACCCTGTATTGTAGATATGGGAGGGGACAGGCTATGACCATCACACCACACAACAGATGGCTCCTCAAGGAAGTTCCACAGACCCTCACCTCAGCCCAGCTCATGTGTGCAGGTGTAAGGCAGAAACGGGTGGGAGGGCACCCTTGTGTGTATGTTGTGGGGCGGGGGTGCGGTCAGCTTGGAGTTGGTGGAGCAGGGTCTTGGGCTTCCGGTGTGGACAGCAAGTTCTCACAGCCCTGCTCAGCCCCGACCCATCCAGCCACATCTGCAGACCAAGCTCTGCCTGGTCTGGAAGCCCTCGGAGTTCCCAGGGACCGAGTCCGGCTGCCTCTAGCAGTGGCTCCCTGTGCTGCTGCAGCCTCTCTGTGTCCCTGCGTTCCCCACTCCACCATCTGGCCACTGGCTGCCGCCTCTCCAGGCTTTTCTCACCTAGAGGAAACTAATGGGATCACTAATCTGATGATTCCTTCTGGCAGCTGGATTTACAGCAGGAAAATAAACATTTGCTCTTTGTGAGACACTTAAAATGGGCCCTTATTCCAGTGACTCTGTGACCCTGTGTCTGTATACCCCTTCGAAAAAGCTGGCCTGGTACCTCTCTCGTGATTGGGGCCTAGTGGATGAGCAGCCCCTGTACCCCTCTGTACCCCACAAGGGTGAGTTGGGCTCCCCACGACACTCATTTGCGTACATTCCCCTGGGAACATGCTCACCAGAGAGATGCCCCCAAAACCAGAAGGTTGAGTGTGTCCTGTTCTGGACCTCCTATCTCTATGCTTGACTCCAGGAGACAGTCAAGGCACCCGTGCCAGGTGTGTTGAGAACAGCTTCTTCCCAGCCTGAGCTTACAGATCCCAGAGTGGGAAAGGGCGTGAGGGGAATGACCTGCCACGTGGGGTCCCCACCTCTCCTCCTCACTCCCAGAAAAGCCCTTCTCCCTGCATCCCAGCCCACCTGTTAGTCATCCTGACTCTGGCGGTAGAGCCCCCAGGGTCTCCTCAGGAGGAAGCTGTGTCTGTCTGACACTGTCCTAGGTGGAACACCTCTGACCTGCTGTCCCCACTGGCAGTCCTCTGTGTGCCAGCTGCCTTGCAGGTGAGCCTGTGGCCGAGGAGGAGCCACCTGTGTATGGAGCAGCGACAACTCTGGGTCACATCCCATGTACACTGGCTTCTCTGACAGGCTGGGAACATGCCCTGGGTGACACCCCTGTCTTCTAAGACTGAACTTCCCTTCTAAAGCATCCAGCAGTAGCGGTCCAGTGTCAAACTGGGTGAAGCCATGTTTGATAATAAAGCACGTCACAAGAATGGTTCTCTCCTGTGCATCTGAAATGCTCTCAGCACTGGCAACAGAATGAGTGTGGCTCTCTGGGAGGCAGCTACGGTGGTTCAGAACTCTTGGCGCTTAGTGAGGCAAGGAGTGTTCTAAGAAACCTCTCACCTGGTGGCAGGTACCCAATCTGAGGGAGAGTTGCAGCTGGAACCGGCAGGTTGGTCCAGCACTTCACGTGTCAGCAGGTCCATAGGCTCAGAGCAGATTGAAGGCTATCGTTCTGTAAGGAACAAAGATACCCCTGTGAGAGCTGGCCCCAGACTCTCGCCCTCGGCATCCTTAGCTGTACACTGGGGTCAGTAAAGGAAATTGAATCCAGGGTCACTGGCTCCAAAGCCCACGTTATTCCCTTCAGACGAGGCACATCGCCACGTTACTGCCACTGTCCTCCAGGGTTACCTTGGTCCTGCATCTGCAGTGTTGACCAGGAACAGCCTCAGGCTCACATGAAGCAAGGAGTGACAATATTCCTAGTCTCGATTTCAGATTCTTGTTTAGATTCTTGTTCTGAGGCTGTACCCCCCAAATTGCCATGTGACATTTACTTTAAATGGAAATACCTGTGACTTCACACCGGTCTGGCTTGGAGACTTGGATGCCAGCCTTGAGGTGCAGAGCCCACTTGGCCCCTGCAGCCACAGCTCCCTGACACCTGCCCTTGGGGTAGTAGCACAAGCTGATGGGTGCTGGGGGTGGATGCTGGGCCGCGGGGCCATGAAATCCAGGTCTAGAGCTCCAGCCATCCTCTGGGGCTGAGACCCACAGGGAGCCTCTGAGAGCCTGGGCCGTGTCCCAAGCCCCATGCTAGTCACAGCGGTGCCAGGAAGAGAAGCGGGAGCCTGCATGGCCTAACGCACACCACGTGCCGCAGAACACGGATCCTGTCTGCGTGCTTATCACTTTTCAGAGGACGTCCTGGCTACTTTTCTCTGAGAGCACAAAGAACATTTTCCTACTTGTCCTTCCCTGTCTGGTGGGCACCAGGCTTTCTCACGTCTGTGAATGAACAGCCACAGGACCCAGCACCACTTGTGGACGCTGACCTAACATGAGACACTGCGGCACACGTGGCCTTGACCTCCTGGTGGGAGGTGGCAGGAGGGCGTGGGCGGTCCCACGGCCACCGTGCCCTCCCTAGTTGCTGAGCCCTTGTTCTCTCTCCTGCAGGAACGGTTTTCCGAAGCAGACGGCAGCTCAGCTGATTCTGAAGGCCATTTCCAATTACTTCGTGTCGACGATGTCCTCTTCCATCAAAACAGTGTATTTCGTGCTTTTCGACAGCGAGAGTATAGGCATCTACGTGCAGGAAATGGCCAAGCTGGACGCCAACTAGGCTGAGGAGCTACAGAACCAGCGTACACCGTGCCCCCTGCCTCCGATTTGAAAGCAAAACCCCCTTCAGTCCTACTGGGAGGCGGGAACCCTTTCATTTTCAATTTTGCTCATCTAGGGAAAGTAAGGTTTTGGTTTCCAGTTTAATTGTTTTCGACCTTCTAAAATGTTTTTACGTTAGCACTGATAGTTGGCATTACTGTTGTTAAGCACTGTGTTCCAGACTGTGTCTGACTTTAGTGTAACCTAGGAGATTTTATAGTTTTATTTTAATGAAATCCTGCTTGATGCAGAGCAGCGGGGAGAGCAGCGTCCATGTGGCAGAATCCAGGAAGCCCGCTTTGTAACCGTGTGTCGTGGTGCTTTATTGTACACCCAGTGGCGTTCTTTTTACTATAACGTTCCTTTTTGTCCCCCTCAAGAAGAAAAATCATGAATTTCCCGCAGACCTAATTTTTGTTTACTTTTTGTCTTAATGATGGATTTGAAAATGAAAGATTTAAAAGGCAGAACAGAATCTGTTGTCTTTAATTATATTTGCAATTTGGAATTTGTGTGGATTGATTTAGTAAAATGTTAAACTGTTGTCGTGACTGGCGTGTTTCAAGTTATTGTGCCCCTGACCTGTAAGTCGGCTTCTCTTATCACAGGATGGGGGCCTTGGGAGGGGCAGCCCACACCCGGGAAGCACCGTGACAGCCACTGCAGCCTGGTGGAGGAGGGGCATCTTCGGGCCCTAATGGCTGGTAGAGGGAGTTCATGTCAAGTCTCTCATCCTTGTGACACTTGGGCAAAGGTGTTACCCCCATTTCATGGATGAGGAAGCAGATACACTGAAAGTCATGTGGATAGGGAGTGGCAAGCTGGTACTAGAGCCAGGTCTTTAACGCTGAGCCCAGCTCTCTCCTGCCATCTGCCCACTCCTGCCGGTCTCTCTGGCTCATGGTTGGTCCCAGTGCCCCCAGACCACTTGCCAAATGGAGGGCAGAAGCCTCAAGCCCTCTACTGGGCTTGATTGGACCTGTCATTCCTACAGGATGGGGTTCTTGGTGCCAGGAGCTTACCAAAGGCACAGTGCCACCACCAAGGTCCCCAAGATGTGCTGCTGCCAATTTTTAAGTGTCTTCTCACAGCTGTGGGTATTTAGGGATGTGGATTATTTTAAAAGATCCCAGCTGGACCAGAGTCACTAAACTCTTATTACCTAAAGTTAGCAAAACACAGACACTATGTGCTTCAAAATGTACTTTTGCCATCATTTAAATTTGTCTAAAATGCACAGAAGATTATCTTTTTAGAAAGACACATGCCTGCTTCTAAAGCAGACTTTAACCAAGAGGAAATATGCAGCATGTTGCATATCATGGATGAATGAAAAAAAATCACTTTTCCTTTCCAAAATGTGCCTGAGGAAATCAAAATAGAAGTCCTAAGCCATCACAGAACCAATCTCTTTAATGAAAAGACAACTACTTCTAACTCGAACCTGAAAGATGATCTTTCCAAGTTTCTTCTAAACGTAAGGTGTTATTAAGACTAAATTTTTTGCCAAGGTCTTTACTGGGTCTAGATTACATATTTCTACTTATTTAGAATTTGGCAGAAGGGAAAGTTTATCATTGTCTTTTCAGTAAGATGCATCTTAAAATGGTATCACTTCATAAGTAATATCTTCAAACTGTTTGCTTGGACAAACCATACTGCACTTGTTCACCAAGAGCGTTGTTTCTACAGGTAGAATCTGCAGTGTGAGGGTGAAGAGAAATACCCAGTGCTGTTGTTAGCTGGTAATCTGGTTATTTACTGGGTACCAGGCGCCGTGTGGAGTCCCATTCAGGGCACCGTTTCATTTTGTCCTTGTAACCCCATAGGACAAGTCCTGTTATTAGGGCCATTTCACAGCTGAGAACATTGAGCCTGGGAGAAGGGCAGTAACTTACGTGTGTGTCAGAAATGACGCTGCTAATAAGTGACTACCAGATTCAAACGCAGAGATGCTGACACCCCTGGAGGTACACTCTAATCAGCAACAAAAGAATCCGTTTGGCCTTGGTGGTATTTCTAACTCACAGGCAGAAACACAGCCAGCACTGAGGTTTAAATGGCTTTCTGGGTGAGTGGCATTTCCTTAGTTATGGAGAAGGAAAACCAGAGAAGCAAATCCTGTACCTAGCGCAGATCCTCCACTAGATGGCGCCAGAAGGATTGGGAAGTAAAGAGGGAAGGAGCCGGGTTTCTGCTCTTCCTTGTGGCTTGCACAAAAGAATAAATTGCACTGGTCAGGATTTGCGTGAATTATTTACCATAATCACCTAAATGTTTCTCAACTCTCAATAATACGAAGTGCATCGTGCTTCCGAGCTGTGGGCTCCTCAAATAAATTTTTTTCAATGAAACAGAAGGAAAGAGCCAACTAGCTGCCTGGGGTTCCCATCATCTCCAAACCACCCAGTTCGTTTTAAAACTAGGATCAAAAATTGTTCTCTGATGTCAGCCTCATGTTTACAGGGAGAAAAGAAAACAGCTCATTACTCGAAAAAAAAAAAAAGTGTGACTGCAAGGAACCACTTGAAATGCATACATGCCTCTATTCAAAAATCAAGTTTGCAGTTAGTCAAATTTACCAAAAACGAAAATTCTATTTTGAGGGAGGGTGTCTAGCCTGCAAGGGTGTCTAGCCCCCCTACCCCACCCTACCCTTCACGCTCAGCTGTATCAGAAGAGACTTGCAGCAAGTGCTATGCTTGCCCCACTGCCGCTGTGCCTGAGCCCCGAAGCCCGGACTTCGGGTCGTGCAACCCTGTGTTCTCAAGGTGGCACAAGGCAGACAGTGTCCCCCAACTTCGCACTTGTTTCTAGAGAACAGTCCTTGCCCTCAGCAGCTGGGCTCTGCCCTGAGTAATCCACACGACCTCCACACTGCTCCTCCATGAGCTCCTGTAAATGACATCTGAGATCTAACACAGCACCGTGGCTCCAATGGGGACCAAAGTGACTAATAACTACAGTGTGTGTGTGTGTACACACACACACAGGTCGTCTACACCTCTCATTTCATCTACACATGGCAGCCGTACGAGGTCGGTCATGTGATCCTTACTTCAGATTGAAGACTACAACACAGAGAGGGATAGCGTATTCCCCAATGTCACACAGCTAGCATGGTGGAGCTGAGACTTGAACACAGCTGTCTGGCTCTACAAACAGAGCTCTTCCCACTCCCCCATCCCTGGGGCTGGCCTCTCCTTTGGTATATACCCCCAAACTTTGCCCCAGTTAGGCAGGGCCTATGTGGTTAGCCCTGGAGGCATAAACAGAACCTCTTGGATGAGGGGTGAACAGAAACGTGCATTTAAAGCAAGCCAGTGGCCAACAAGGACTTATTCGGTCCTTCGTATGAATGAGGCCTCAGATCGGGGTCTCTTACAGCAGGGTGGGGACCCTGAGAAATGCCTGCTGA